GGGCTGCTCCTGGACACGGCGGCAGCGTGCCGGGACACACAGCCCTGCTTCCCTCCCTGGGCTCCTGTCCTCTCCTGTCCCCTCTGCTGGGCCTGCTGCAGGGCGTCCTCCACGGCCACATAGGTGGGCAAATGCTTTGGGGATGCTTGGGACCCCCGTGCTTCCCCTCCGCCCCGCAGCTCCGGGATGCCCGGGTTGGCCCTGACCCTCTCTCCTGGCAGGCGGCCCCTCTGAGGATAAACTCCTGCCAGGAGACCAGATCTTGGCCATCAACGATGAGGATGTGAGTGAAGCCCCCAGGGAGAGATTCATCGAGCTTGTCAGGTGAGGACAACGCCCCTGGGGAGGGGCTCACGCCAGGCTGCTGTGCCCGTAGTGCCCAAAGCCTCGCGGTGCCAGTGTGCACCCACGGCACCAGTGCTCACTGCTGGGGTGGGGAACTCCCAGCCTGAGCAGGGGCAGCCTTGGAGCCAGGGCCACAGCCATCCCCAGCTGGCCAAGAAGCGGGAAAGAATCCACAGCCACGTTGTCAAGCACCCCAAGGAGCCCACAAAGGTCCCGGCCAGCACTGGGCTAGAAGGGTGGGATGTGCTTTCAGTAGCCAGCTGCCGATGTTGAGGTCCATCACCATGAGGTCCCATCCATCTTCATTTCTCCTTTCTGTCACAGGAACGCCAAGGACTTCATCATCCTCACGGTTCTGCACACCCACCAGGTGAGACTGACAGGGGAACCAGGACAGGGGTCAGAAGCACTTTTGGACACCAAACCAGGGTCCCTGGAGACCCTGGGAGACCTGGAGACCACTCAGGCAGCTCAGCTGATTTGTTGGGGCCATGTCCCAGCACCCCAAGGCTCTTCCAGGCTGTGGGGTCTGAGAGCTGCCACGGCCCCTTGGGGTCATGGGCGTGCAGCATCTCCCTGTCCTTGTCACCAGGAGGGAGGGAGGGAGGGGAAATATCCCCATCCCGTGTGTGTGATGGAGAAACCCACCGTGCCAGGGGTGGCAGGGAGGGGTCGCTGCTGGCCCAGGAGTCCCTGGGGATGCTGATGGTGCCCTGGGGCACACTGAGCTGTCACAGCAGAGGCACAGTCAGTGCTTCACGGAGTCTTTGATGTTGGGAGAGAGGTGTGAGAGCTCCCCTGTGCTCCCTTCCTCTCCAGAAAGGAGATGCCCCACCCAGCACTGCCCTGTCAGGAGCAGGGGCGTGTGCCACACTCCAAAAAAGCTTTTTTCCTTCTGGCCCGGGTGGCAGCCAGCCAGGACAGGCAGCTCAGCTGGTGCTGGCACCATCAGACACACACAGACTGTCTCTGTGCTGGAGTGTGTGCAGCACTGCCACCAGAACATCCTGCAGGGGTGCCCGGGGTGCTGCCATCTCCCTGGGGCTGCAAACTCACATCCAAGGGGTTCATCTGTCCCATCCAGCTGGTGCCAGTGCCTCCAGGCAAGCCCTGGCTGACATCTGCTGGAGCTCAGCCTGTACAAGGGCTGCCAGGCCCTGGGGTGCAGCCTCCCTGCCACACTGATGCTGCTGGTGTGACTTCAGGGGCTGCTGCTCATCCTTCTGGCCCTGCCTGTGGCACCCTGTAGCCACAGCCAAGGGGCTTTGCTTTCCACCCTCCCCATCTCATGGTTTGCTGTGTAACCACATCCAAAGGGGTTTGCTTTCCACCCTCCCCATTTCATGGTTTGCTGTGTAACCACAGCCAAGGGGCTTTGCTTTCCACCCTCCCCATCTCATGGTTTGCTGTGTAACCACAGCCAAAGGGGTTTCCTTTCCACCCTCCCCATCTCATGGTTTGCTGCCCACTCCCCATCACCATGCTGGCTGCAGAGGGGTTTCCTCTGTGTCTGCCTTTCCCCACACCATGGCTCCCAGGGCAGGCAGGTGATTGACCCAGTGCTCTCTTTGCAGTCCCCCAAATCTGCTTTCATCAGCGCAGCCAAGAAGGCAAAGCTCAGGTCCAACCCGGCCAAGGTCCGATTCTCTGAGCAGGTGACGGTCGGCGAGACAGACCCAGTAAGTCCTGCCTAGTCCTGCCCTGCCTTCCCTGTGCTTCACCCCCTGAGGGGTCCCCAGGGCCACAGGGCTTCTCTTGCCTGCTTTGGGCTCTGCGGGTGAGAGCAGCTGTCTCAGAGAGCCCCACAGGACTGATGCCCTTGGGCACAGTCAGTGTGTTGGGTCACTGCTGGGGGGATTTTCTGTTGTTGTCCCCTGTACCTCTGAAGGAGCCCCAAAAACTGGCTCAGAAACCTGGTCTCAGCTGAGCCCCCCTGAGCACCCAGGCAATGCCAGTGCCTGCTCTAAGGAAGATCTGTGGCTTCCAGCCTGATCCCAAAAGCTTTGGGATGCCTCCATGTGGGGCAGGGTGACCAGGGCACTGCTGAATGGCTGTGGAAGCTGGAGAGTTCCAGCCCAGTGCTTTTATCTCTTAAATGCAGAAAGGTTTTGTTAACAACAAAACAAATGTGGAAAAAAAACGCTTCTAGCACGTTCTATTTTTAAGCAAAATCAATTAGGTAATTATCTGATCGAAAAGCTTCTCACCAAATAAAATCAGCCTTCTCCCAACTTCCTGCAGAGGGGATGGGCAGAGCTGAGGGGGGATAGGCTTGGGGTGAGGGTCAGGAAGGGGGGATCAGCTCTGAGCCACCCCAGCCATGCCTCCTGTCTGGGACACAGCTGGGGAGAGGACAGGCTGCCAGCACGGGCACTGGGGTGTGCTGGGCAGAGCCAGGTGCTCTGTTCCACTGCAGCTGCTGGGAGCTGAGCAGGTGAATCTGTCAGGCAGCTCTGAATTGCCTCAGCTCTGCGCTTCAGAACGCTGGCTTTTCATGGCAAATGTGCCTCTTAGCACAAAGCCCAGAGCAGCAGAGGATGCCACGAGTGAGTGCTCCATCACTGACACTCTCTGTCCCCGCCCTCCCTTCTCTCTCCGTGCCCCCCACCCCTCCTCGCCTCCCCCTTTGCTGGCCCCACATGCCAGGACATGTTGAAGAAAGAAGCTCTCCTCCTCATTCCCAACGTGCTGAAGGTTTTCCTGGAGAACGGGCAGATCAAATCCTTCACGTTCGATGGCCGAACCACTGTGAAGGTGAGCCCCTCCTCTCCTCCCACCTGCCCGATCCATTTCTGCTTCCCGAGCACGATCAGCGGCGCTGGGCTGGCTGTGAGCCGCTCTGGCATGATGGATGGCCCGTCTGCCTCCCCAGGCAGCACGCTCTGCAGCTGGCAGGGATGGGGCTTTGCTGGCTCTGCCTCTCCTGACTTCTCTCCCTGCTGTGAGCCTGCCCTCCAGCCAGCCTGGATCTCCTGTGAGTGCCCCTGCCAGGGGCAGCTCCCTCAGCACACCCAGGGTTAACCCAGCCTGCTGTCACCTCCTGCTGCAACGTCACTGGTGCCACCGGTGCACCCTCTCAGCCTCATCCTGGCACTGCCCTGGCTGCCAGGGACTCTCAGTGAGCTCAGAGTGGGCTCTCAGCGAGGTCCCAGCTCCCCCTTGGGCAGCAGCCAATGCCTGGCACCCAGGGCTGTCTGTGGTGTTTGCAGGACGTGATGGTGACGCTGCAGGACCGCCTGTCACTGAGGCACATCGAGCACTTTGCCCTGGTCCTGGAGTATTCCAGCCCCGAGCAGAGCCACCGCTTCCTGCTGCTCCAAGACAAGCAGCCCCTGGCCCATGTAAGCTACTGGGGTGGGAGGGTGTTGGGATGGCCCTGGTGAGGGGCTGGGCATGGAAAGCCTCCCCTTCCCCCACTGAGGGCTTGGCTGCTGTTGGGGCACAGTTTGGGGTCACTGGGATGGGGCTGTGCTGCGGGCACAGTTTGGGGTCACTGGGATGGGGCTGCGGGCACAGTTTGGGGTCACTGGCATGGGCTGGCCCAACCCCATCCCCAGTGGGCACAGCTGTGAGCAGCAGGTGAGCAGCACTGACAGTAATGAGCCATGGAGTGCCCGGGTGTGCTGAGCAACCACCAAAAGGAGCACAGGGCACACAGGGGCAGGGCATCAACATGAGGGGTGTAAAAGGTTGGACTAAAGAACAAGAGAAGATGCTTACAGCTTACAACCTTCTGAAGTGACCTGATGTTACTCTGTATGGGTTTGAAGCCTTCTGAGACTGTATGGTGACATTCTGTATTGTGGCCATCTCAACTGACACGTGCTGTGACAAGCTGGGATTGTGCTGTGGGGTGCCACTGCCTCTCCTTGCCTCTGACATGATCCTGTAGGCTCAGGGGTGAAAAGGGTTGCCAAGGAGGGAGACAGTCAGGGTTTCATCTACCCTACATTGACAACACCATGGAGCTGCTCTGTGCTCTGCCTGGGCAGCTGCAGACAGCACTCATGAGCGTCCTTGGCTGGGAGAGCCAATAAGACCAGGGATAAAACAGGGATCGTGGAGCAAACATTAGCCTGAGTGGCATAAACCCTCCAGCACCAGGCAAAGCTGTCCCACCAAGGAAGGCCGGGATGTTGTCGGGATGAAAGGTGGTGCATGGAGGAGAGAAATCAAATATAACACCAGAAGAGAGGAGAGGGCATCTCATGCTCTGCAGCCTGTGGTTCCTGGGCTCACTGCTTCCCTCTGCTCCTGCCACAGGTGGTGCAGAGAACACACTATCACGGCATGAGATGCCTCTTCCGTGTGAGCTTCTTCCCCAAGGACCCGGTGGAGCTGCTGCGCCGGGACCCTGCAGCTTTCGAGTACCTGTACATCCAGGTGGGCACTGGGGGCTGCTGCTGCTCGTGGCCCACACGTCTGCCAAGGCTGGGCACCCCTCAGGTGGCAGTGGCTGTCCCTGGGGCTGTCTGGGGACACTCCTCTCCCTCCTGCAGAGCCGCAACGATGTGATCAGAGAGCGCTTCGGCACAGAGCCCAAGCCTGAGATGCTGCTGGGGCTGGCTGCCCTCCACATCTACATCACTGTCTCAGCCACCCGCCCCAGCCAGAAGGTGTCCCTCAAGAATGTGGAGTGAGTGCTCCTGCTTGTGCCCAGGCTCCCACACAGCCCTCCTTTGTTGTCCCTTCCCCGTGTCCCTGTGTCACAGCCATGTTTTGGGGTGTGGAACATGAGATGCTCTGAGCTGGGTGGTGGCTCAGGGGCTTGGCAGCAGGGACAGCCACCCCTGGTCCCATCACAGGGCTGTGTAAGGCCCCCTCACGCTGACACACAGCAGCCAGGGCTGGGGACAGTTGCTGTGAGCCCAGGATCATTTCCATGGGAACCTGGGCTGGTTTTCCACCTGCACCCAAGGCAATGAGAAGCTCTGTGGCCCTGTCACCTCAGTCACCAAGCACTGGCTCAGCCCTCCTGTGGCTCCTGGGGGACCTAAAGCCATACCCAGCCCATCTGTGCAGGCTGGCCTTGCCCAGTTGGCAGAGGGAGGAGGGAGGGAGGGGTCACCCCAAAATAGATTTGGGAATTTGCCCTGCATCCCTAAGTTTACATGAAGGTGAGTGGGAGCTGGGGTCTGCTGCAGTGCGTGGCACTGCTGTTCCCCAGCCTGCAGCTGATGGCTGTGTCACCAGCCTGGGGTCCCATCCCCCTGGGGACCCGAGCTGGGGGCTGCTGCTGCTCCGGCTGCGGTGCCAAGGAAGTGCTGGTGTGGTTCCAGCTCCCTCTGATGGCAAGAGGATGCTCTGGGACAGTTTTGTGTCCCTCTGTGCTCGCTGGCTGTGCCTCTAACCTGGCAGCTCATGCAGGTTTCCCTCCCCACAGGAAGGAGTGGGGGCTGGAGCCCTTCCTGCCCCCCTCGCTCCTGCAGCTCATCAAAGAGAAGAGCCTCCGGAAATCCCTCTCGCAGCAGCTCAAAGCCCACCAGCACCAGCCTGGGGGCACCAAGGTGAGCCCAGTCCACAGGGTCCCTGTCCGGGGCTGGGGACACCTCCTCGGGTACTCCTTAAATCCCCTGGGACGGCAGATAAATCCCACAGCCAGGTAGAGTCTCCCTCTCCTGAAGCCACTCTCAGGAGCTGATGTGGATTGCAAGGAGTGCAGTGAGGATCAGGGCTGAAATCAGCTGAGGCTTGGCTGAAGTGGCACACACCAGCTCGTTGTTATCTCTGCCTGGGCTTGGAAAGCTCTGGAAGTGGCAGCTGTGCCATTGCCTTGGTCCCTGCAGCCTTCACAGCTCCCCAGGGAGGGAGGGTGGGTTGCACATCTCAGGGGGGTTATACACCAAGCAGTGGGGCTCCTTCTTGGCTGTGCCCTGCTCTGAGTTACCTCCCAACAGCGGCCCAGGCTGGCAGGGGATTGCAGACCCCCCTCACCCCCAACTCAGACCCACTTCCATGCCCAGGGCTGCCTGACAGCTCGCTGTGCCCCCTTAGCTGAGAGCCCCAGCTCTGCCCCAGCCTCCTGCCTCTCTTGCTGTGCTCACAGTGATCAGTTGTGTGTGTTTTGTCAGGTGTCCACAGCCCAGGCCAAGCTGCAGTACCTGAGGATCCTGAACGAGCTGCCCACCTTCGCTGGGGTTCTCTTCAACACCGTGGGACTGGTACGATAACCCAGGCTGGGCTGGGGGTGCCTGCCCCTGACTGTGCCGGGGGCACATGGCTCCCACAGAAATCACTCCCCTCAGTGCCCTGCTCTGCCCTGCTAAGCTCCAAGCCCACCCAGAAAGCCCAGGATGCTCTGCTGTCAGCAGGTTGGGTTTTCAGATTTATTGGGTCAGGAGCTGCTCTGTTCCTGCAGCCTGTGGGACAGCAACATGACCTGCTCAGTGAAGCTGGAGGAGTTTCAGGCATGTGTTTGTAACTCAGCCATGCCCTGGCACATCCTGCCACCCATCCTGGAGGAGGGCAGCTCCTGGCCAAGGCCACTGTGGTCCCTGCTTGCCCACAGCTGGGCTTGCTGCCTTGTCACAGGTGCTGCAGTGATCCCTGCCACAGTGATCCTTCCTCTCCACTGCTCACCAAACCAGCTCAGCAGGGGGAAAGCCACCAGCACAAACAGCACCTGGCTCACCCCTCATCCCTCTCACTCCACTCCCACCCAGAGGTCCCCATGTAGGTGCTATTGCCAGCTGGGGGCTGTGTACAAATCACAAACAGGACAGAGCTGCTGTGGAACTGCCTTGAGCTGTTTTATTTTCCAGCATCAGTCTCATCCTATGGTTATGGCAATGGGAAGATGCCAGCAGCTCACATCCCAAGCAGCAGACCAAGAACTTAATGTTACAATTCACTTTAAAAGTTTTCTGACCAATCACACCAAGCAAAAGCACATTGACAGTAGTTCCATCCAACCACTATAAGCACAGGTACCTTTGGTTAAAGCAGTGCCTGCTTATTTTGGATACAGTACTTGCTTGTAGGCCTTAAAACACAATGCACAGAGCTCCATTATTAAGTTTCAAACTTCTTAATATCTTGCTAAAACTTTTGCATATCTTGCATAAACTTTTCTGCAGCTTAGGGAGTTCTAGACAAGTGTTAATACACAGACCATTGTTCTATTTGTCCTTGCTTTTCTACTTTTTAAATAGTTTTTCTGCTGACCAATCTCATGGCTGCTGCTTAGCTCTAATCACAGTTTTACTGTCTCTGAGGGCCTGCCTTTTGCAGCTTTCCCAGAACCCTCTAATTTTGTAGATTCCCACAGGTGCCACCTCTCTGCCATCCCTCCCTTTACCCCCACCCGTGGTCTCAGCACTTTCTGTGCTTTGCCTGGGTTCCATCTCTGGCAGCCTTTGCTCTGCTCTGTCCCTCACCCCACAGCTCAGAGTGCTGCCTGCAGGAAATCAGTGCAGACACAGCCTGTGGTGTCTGCTTGGTGCCATGGCACAGCACTCAGAGCCTACCCCTGACACTGCCTGGGTAGACAGCATTTATTTTTTTTTATCTCTGACACCAAAGCAATGCCTCTGAGCCAGCCTGTGAGCTGAACTGTGTTGAAATGGTAAAAACTATTCCCTTATTATCTTCTGCAAGGCTCTGCCCAGCTCCTCTTCCCCTCCACACCTGGCTTGAAGCATCCTTTTAGACCAGAGCAAGAAACATCCCTATTTCCAGTCAAGCTTTGGTCTTTCTTCTTTTCTGAAATCCATTCACTCCCTGCTTTGCTTCCTTCTCTCAGAGGCAATGTCAGATCAGACAGATTTGTAACACACTTGCTTTAGTGCAGTGACACCAGTGAGCCTGAATTTTTCATGTGGACACTCAGCCCAGAGCTTTACTTTTAAACAGCCCTGGCACCCTGCACACCACTCCCAGCTCTGCCAGGGGGCTCAGGGGGGCAGGTTGGTGGCACCAGCCTGCTGCCAAAGCCATCCTGGGCCTGACCAGGCTGCCAGCACTGAGGCTGGGCTGCATGGAGAGAGCCAGGAGCAGGCTGTGCCATGCTGGGTGTGTCTGTTCACCCGTCTGTCTGTCTGTCTGTCCCTGTGCCAGCAGGATGAGAAGCAGCCAGCCACCACCCTGCTGGTGGGACCCCGGCACGGCATCAGCCACGTCATCGACCTGAAAACCAACCTCACCACGGTGCTGTCAGAGTTCAGCAAGGTCAGCAAGATCCAGCTGTTCAGGGAGAACCAGGGCGTGGCCCGGGTGGAGACCAGCATCCTGGATGCCAAGGTAGGCACGGAGATGAGGCTGGGGCTTTGGGGCCAGCCTTTGAGGGGATTCATATCACAGCTGTGTGCTGGACAATCTGCTTGGGGAGCCCAGGAGACTCCAAAACCCCTTCACAGCAGGGCCTGCAGCATCTCCCCTGCTTCTGACTCCCTGTGCCACACAGGAATGGCTGCTGAGGGCCACAGGGCAGGCATGGTGACATTCTGGCTGTGACCCAGGGTGACAGGAGAGGCATGGTGGCATTCTGGCCATGACCCAGGCTCACAGGAGAGGCATGGTGCCCTTCTGGCCATGACCCAGGGTGACAGGGCAGGCATGGTGCCCTTCTGGCCATGTCCCAAACGCCTCCCTAATGGTTCAAGCATGGTCATTTTGGGCAGATGGGGTGGCACAGGCCAGGCAGGCGGCAGGACAGCACCTCCCCTGTGCTCAGGGCTGGAGAGGAGCAGTGCATGGCCATAGCTGGGCTGGCTGCAGCTACTGCAGAGCAATGGGAGGTTTCATGCATTAGTAGCACCTGGGGAACTTGTCAAGCCAGGCAGGATTGTTGAATGAGGTGGAAATGATGGGAAGGCGGTGTCAGGCTCAGGGTGAGCACAGATGGCTGTGTGGCCCTGGCCCAGCAGCCACCCCCTGGGTCCCCTGCCAGCTGCCCCTGTTATCCCCCCTTCAGCCCCCAGGGCACTCTTGGCACACCCTGAGCCCTGTGTGGTGCCATCCCCCATCTCCTGCTGTGGTTGTGTACTGCAGTGCTGGTTCTGATGGTCAATCCCTGTGCTCAGCCCCTGCCACCCCTCAAGGCTCCCAAACCCTCCAAGAAAAGTGTCAGCAGCACACTAAGATCTTTATTCCCTTCTTTGGTTCTCAGTGCAGCAGCCACAAGATCCTAAGGAGATCTTCCCTTGCTGAGGTTTTTAACGAGCTGGGACATGGCAGATAGACTCAAAGGCACATAGCTCTGTGTGTGTGTCCCCAGGCCATCCTCGGTGTCCCTGTCCCCAGGGGAAGGACAGCTGAGAGGCAGAGATCTCACAGATAAATGCCAAGTCTTCTCTCCTCCCACCTTGAATTCAAGAGGACAGTTAGGATTGGGTTTGGAGTTAATCAGTCAGGAGCAGTACTTGGCAGAGTTTGGCCCAGTGGGGCTCTGTGGGGCAGGGAGGTGCTGCTGCACAAACCCTCTGAGCCTTTGGCTGTGGCTCAGTTTTCCTGCCCCTGCATTCACCCCTTTTCCCCCAAGACTGATGAAGCTGAGCTGCTCTGCCACTGTCTCTGTGTTTCACTCCTGCAAGGTGTCCAAGCCTCAGCCCTCTCTGCAGCCCTCCCTTTGCACTGTCTCAGTGGTAGTCTCATGGCTGTAATCATGGTGGATTTGTTTAGGATTCTCCTGCTGCCTCCTGTCCTGGTGGATTTTAGCACTTTCTCCAGCCCAGCTCATTAATTCCTCCAAGTCTGTTTTCCTGCTGCCTCTGTGCCTGCTCCAGCTGCTCTGCTCACCTGCACTAACACCCCAGCAGCCTCTGCCAGAGCTCTGCTAATCCTCATCCCCTCCACAGCCTCATCCACAAAGCCCTTTCTTGGAATTCCTAATCCAGTGGGTATTTGGTCAACTGCAACATTTTTAACATTCCCTCTTCTGCATCCCACCGAGGTCAGTTATGCAGTTCAAGCCTGGGTATCCTGCTGTGCCTGTCCCAACCCTTCAAAGCCCTCACCCTGCCCTGCTCAAAGCCCTCCAGCTGCCTGGGCTGTGCAGGAATCCATCCATTTTCTCCTTAGAGAGCAGGAATAACCAGGGGATATTGGCTGCACCATGAGCAGCCCTGCTG